GAACTCTGGTAGCATAGTGCCTAAGGCACTTGACTGCTAACCAGAAGGCTGGCGGTTCATACCCACCAGCCACTCCTCAGAAGGACGATGGGGCAATCTACTTCTGTAGTGATACTGCCTCGGAAACCCAAGGAGGGGTCGCTATGAGTCGGGTCCGACTCCACGGCACATAACTACAAGAACAAGATTTTACTTGCATGCGATATTAATGATATTGTTCGATAATTTCAACATTCTGTGGGATCACCTTTCTTTGGAATGGGTACAATGAGCCTCCTAGAGCCAGGAAAGGCAGGGACCAGGAGTGGCCTCAGGAACCTCAGGAGTGGCAGGATATCCAGGTCAAAAGGGGTGGGAAGCAAGACTAGGCCCCAAGCTCCCTAGAGCCAGGAAAGAGAGGAACAGGAGCAGCCAGAGACCACAGAGTGGCAGGTTTCAGGTAGGAATTAGGTAAGAGGAGGGTACAGAGGTTTCCAACACCTAAGGGAGACAAACTTGTCTGTCAGTTTGTTATCCCATGAGGCTTGTATGTTGCTGTGAGGCTTGAGGCTGTGCCACTGGTGTTTCAGACGCCAGCAGAGTTGCACACGGTACACAGGTTTCATTCAACACAGCTTACAGACTAAGACAGACTAGGAAGAAGGAGGAGGCCATCCACTTCTCAAAAATTGGCCAGGGAAAACCTTGTGAATAGCAGAGAAACACTGTCTGATACACTACTGGGCAACTTTACGAATAGCTTGGAAACATTGTCCGACACAGTGCAGGAAGACTAGCCCCTTGGGTTGGAAGGCACTCAAAATAGGACTGGAAAAGAGCTGCCTCATCAGAGTAGAACCAACCTTAATGATATGGATAAAGTAAGCCTTTCAGGATCTCCATGTGCTGATGTGGCATGACTCAAATTGAGGAGAAACAGCTGCAAACATCAATTAATAATTGGAACATGGAATGTACAAAGTAAGAATCTAGGAAAATTGGAAGTTGTAAAAAATGAAATGGAATACATAGAAATCCTAGGCATAGCTGAAATGGACCAGTTTTGGCCATTTTGAATCAGACAACCGTATTATCTACTATGCCGGGAATGACAAACTGAAGTGGAATGGCATGGCATTCATCATCACAAAAGATGTTTCAAGATCTGTCCTGAAGTACAATGCTGTCAGTGATAGGATAATATCCATAC